CCCGCAGACCGCCCCCCCCCCCACGCGTGGCCAAATCCACAAGTCACTCGTCTGTGAAACGATTCCTGCTGAATTCTGGTGTCTGCTGCTGTAAATGTGACGTTTTCCGGAGCGCTTTTGGGGTTGTGACGAGTCGTGAAGTCGTGGCTTTCCTTGCTTGTGTTGTTTTTTTCTCAGTAGATGTCGTAAAGTCGGTCCCGAAAGGGGGTTTTAAAGCCGAAAACCTGGCAACCCGGCCTCCGAGGGCGAGGAGCACTGAGCTGTAGGCCTTCATCCTGTGCAGTAGACCGCTCACTTCATGACCGCGGTCAGTTGTTTGTAAACTGTAAATTTATTCTTTCTGTACATGAAACGAGAAATAGAAATAAATCTGTGACCACAAAGCCTCTGGGGTTTGTTTTGTCTTTTATCTGGGAAACGTCAACACCAGCAATCAGCATTTATTTGGGTCTCTTTCACACTTCTGTCAATAAACGCCTACTGGAACCAGATGATTGTTTCATTTGAAGAAGAACCTTTAACCCCCAGGTTAGATAACCCCAAATGTTTGAGTTTCTCCTCTGAGCTGTTCCACTTCTGTCTGTAACATCTGCTGGAACATAGCTCATTTAGTGGAATTCAGAACTGATTCTGGAAGAAAAAAAGCAAAAATTCAAAGTTTAGTCAGGTTTTTGATCAGTTATTTTGATTCATTTTGAGTTCATTTGGTAATCCATCTAGTTCCAACATTTATTTATGCAAATTTTTAAGTTTTTTATGGAAAAACTAACAAGATTTCACTATTCTAGTGTAAAATTAGCTCATATTTAAAAATATATTTATTCATAAAATTTCTCTGTGTAATATCTGCTTGAACAGAGCTCATTTAGTCAAAATCAGAGCTGATTCTGGAAGAAAAAAAGCAGAAATTCAAAGTTTAGTCAGTTTTTGATCAGTTATTCTGGTTTATTTTGAGTTATTTTAGTAATTTATTTGATTCCAAAATTGATTTATGCAAATCATTTAAGCTTTTTATGAAACAATAAAAACTAGCAAGATTTCACTATTCTAGTGTAAAATTAGCTCGTATTTAAAAAAATATTTATTCATAAAACTTATATCAAATATCTGCTGGAACAGAGCTAATTTAGTGGAAATCAGGGCTGATTCTAAAAGAAAAAAAGCAGAAAGTGGGAGTAGTTTCTCTCCGGTAAAGGTAAAGGTGCTCCTTTAACTAAGAAATGTTTGAGACCAACATATCGTATTTTCCTTTGTGAAATGAATAAATTGACTTTTTCTGTTTAAAAAGTAACTTTAAAACAAATTAAGATGTTTAGTTTTTGGTCATTTGAGATTTTACACTGGTATATTCAGCTGTACTCGAGTTAAATTTGAACAAAGTACAGCTCATAATTGTAGTCTTTCCATTTTTACTGTAAAAAACATAACACAACACATTTCCTGACGGCTTAATTTGATGTATATTTTCTATATTTGTGAACTTTTGATGGGCTTAAACATGCATAACCTGCTCATGAAATAAAAACAGAAGCAAAAGCATAAAAACTCAAACGACCCAAACCGGAAACGGGATCCTGTTGGTGGACTTTTGGGGCGCCTGGCCCTTTAAAAACACGCCGGTCACGTGTCAGCGTGTCATGTGATCTCTGAATAGACTGAAAAAATAGCTGCAAACACACTTTTCTTTTTGTTCTCGGACTGCCGCGTCTTGAGGCGACTCGTATGCGACTCCTGGGCGTGTCCAAACACACCTGCCAGGTAAGAGTTCCTCTCTTTTGTCCGTTAACCGTTTAGAGCCGTTATCTTATCCGTTAGCCGCTAACCGGCTAAGCTAAATTGATTAGTTTGGATTACCGAAGCTAACGCTCATTGTTCCCCCTCCAGCATCGTCTCTCCTCAGGTTATTCCTTCATGTTTCTCTTTATATTTGTAGAATATTTCCCTGTGCAGTCACACAAAGTAAGTTTTGTTTTCCCAGTGTGTTTTTCTTTGTGTTTTTCAGATTTTTCAGAGGAGTATGCGGCACAGAGCTCTCTGTTGACAGCAGCTGAATAGTTTCTTCTCTTAGTGTCCAGCTACCTGCTGAAAATGGTAAAGTAGAAAAACAGCACGCCGAATTCTGCTTTTTGTAAAGGTTAATCGTTATTTCACTCTTTCTTGTCACCATTTACACGCTAAGTGGGTCAACAACACGAGTGGAGCTTAAATTGTCCGTTTCCCAGCAGAGGTTCTGCTCCATCCTGCTTTGACTGCAGCTGTACTTTGACATTTCTGGTTAAAAATGCATCAAACTTTTATGTATTCCAAATATATTCACTGTTGCGAGGTGTTATTATACTGCAGTGCAATTCATTGGAAAATATTGAAGGAAATACATTTTATGTTAAAGTTATCTGCAATTTTTATAATTGGATTTATCTGAAATTGTTTCTAAACTTGTAGAATTACAGTGGGGGGGAAAAGTATTTGACCCCTTGCTGATTTTGCAGGTTTGCCAACTTACAAAGAATGCAACGATCTATAACTTTAATCA